GGCCAGGCCCAGGCCCAGGCCCGGCGGAGTCTGACAGGCCCGTGCCCTTCCTCTGTGCCTCTGCAGGTGGCGGACGAGCTGGTGAAGGTGCAGGTGGCGCTGAGCAATATCGCCGGCAAGAGGGAGAGGATCAAAATCCTGTTTAAGAAGAGTGAGTGGCCTCGAGGAGGGGTGACCTAGGGGATTTGGGGGAGCTCAGAACTCCTTTGTGGCATTTTGCTCCTCTAAAAAAAAAAATCCCTTCCCACCTCCCCATGTCAGCCCCTTTGATTTTGGGCTGCTGTTTGGCATATTTGGCAGAAAAGTAAGTAACCGAGTGAGACCTATCTGCTCACAATTCTCCGACTCAGCTGTTGGGGGGTGGGAAACGGGCCCCTGCAACCTTTTGTCTGCTTGGTGTCTGCCTGTATCAGTGCAGTGATTTGTTCCACCTGAAATGCAGCCCTTGAAGGTTGTTGGAGCATGAGCTTCTGAAGGTACTTCTTGCACACTTGGATTTCTTGGGCACACTGGAGCCGCTCTCCCCTGCATGTGTGGTGGGAACTGCAAGGATCACAGGCATCCACATGGTGGAGGGATCTAGGGAGCCACCTCCAAACGGGGGGATATCAGGAGTAGACACCAGTGTCGTGCTTTGTCCTGCAAAGCTGTCTCTTGGCCAAGTGTTGCTGTGTCACAGAAGGAGCAGAGTGCATAGGGATGGTCGTTGTGGTCCAAGGCTGCAGTGGCCATTCAGTATAAAAATGTAAACCGTGTATTTGTAGATGATTTAAGGACCAGGATAGAGGGCTGTTGGCTGGTTTTGTTTTGAGGGTAGGAAGAAGCAGATTTTGCTCACCTTTAATTTTATTATCCAAACCAAAAGCAAGTGTTGTGGGTGTCCATAACCCAGCAGTTATTTGGCTTGAGCCATTTGCCTGTTCTTGGTCACAGTGCTCCAAAGTCACATCTTTTCAAGTGCTGTAGAAGTGCATGAATCTGAAAAAACCCGACCCTAAGTGGGCAGTGTTTACAGAGTAAGATGTATAGCACGGGGGAAGATGGCGCTTGTAAATGCAACAAAATCTCTCCTACTTTCTGTCTTTTTTTTCACTCTAGTTGAAGATGTAATAAAATACCTCGACCCTCAGTACATTGATAGGATGGCTGTTCCAGACGCTATGAAGCTGCAGTTCATCTTGGCAGGTATGGCATGAAAGGAGAGGAGACACAGGAGGTTTTTTAGCACTGCAAAACTTGTCTTTTACCTCAGCTGCATTGGGATGGGTTTCTTTTCTTTACTTGTAAAGATCGGGCAAAGCACCCTGTTTAAAGCTATCAGAGAGGTGGTTTGTAGAAGAATGTGTGTCACCCTTAGTGCTCCCGTCCATGCTGCCGTTTTCTTAGTTCTGATCTTTTTGGTATTGATTAGTTTAACCCTGAATTAATAAATGGGTGAAAAGAAAAACTGGAGCTAGAACAGTTTTCCTCACCCTGCTTTCAGTACTCTGTAGGCTGTGACAAAAATGGAGGACCTTTGGATGTATTTTCAACACCTTCTAGCCTTGTCCTCTTTTGCGCCGCAGAATTTGGTTCAGCCTTGCGTTGGTATAGCCTGTGAGTGAAAGTTGGGGATTCATCTGCCTTAAATTGGTGTGCACCAGGATCCAGGGGTGAGCAACACAAAAGTCTAAATTAAGTCATGAACAAGGCCCTTTCTGTATAGCTAGGTCAGCTGGAAATGTTACCTCGCCGGTATTTGTGAAAAGCCAAAGCAGCATCTTGTATTTACTGTTGTTGCTTCTTGTCCCTCCCCAACCAGAGGAGCAGGTTATTCCTTCCCGTGCAGCCCTTCTGGAGCAGGTGAAGAACCTCCAGCCCATATTGGACAGTGCCAGTATCCAAGGTATGCATGTTCTTCTCCAACTTCAAGGTGCAAATGCCACCCCCCGACCCTGTTTTCTTGGTTTTTTTCTTGACCCTCAGACTAGAGGAGAGGACAGCTAAGCACACAACCCGGTGTAAAACCTTAGTGGTATGTCTGCTCCTCCCTCGTGCTGCTCTAATGTCGATGCAACGTCAAGGAGATGATAGAGTCAGTTGGGAAGCAGGTTGGAGACAGCAGCTTGTCAGAGAGGGTGGAGAGCGGCAGGCCGTTCCTGCCTGTGACCTCTTTTACATCCAGAACATCCCTGCTCCTGGCACAGGCCGAGATGCCTTTTTAATTTCTTGCCTTAACGTTCATCTAAGTAGTTTACTCTGATGTAGTTCTTGACTAGCCCTCACTGCGGGCATCCCCAAACTCATGCCATCCAGAAGCAGTTAGCAGACAAACTTGGTTTTTAATGTACGGGGTAGCTAGGGGTTCTTTTTATCTTACAAAAAATGTGTTTGTGGTGTGTGGCACTTGCATTCAGTGAGTGGAGTTCTGCTGTGATGTGCTCGTGGAGAAGGTATGGTCTTTATTTGGGGAACTAATCCCACGTCCTGTGAAACAAACAAAATGGATTTCTCTTCTGTGCTTTCAGCGGTTCCTGACCATGCAGCCAAACTACAGCGACTCTCTCAAATCCACATACAGCAGCAGGTAGCGTGAATATTCTTGACAGTCTTGACTAGCGGGAGGAGGAAGAGTTTGTCAGTGGCTGTACTGACACCCCTGAATTTGCAGTTGCTTGAAAATTGCTCATTTATAGCAGGTTTTTTTCAGTCCCAGGATATTCATACTGCAGTCTTGAAGAAGTTCAAGCACTTTGGGCAGGGGGAGTAGCCAGGTTTTCTGATGATTGAGTCTGAGTTGGAAAAGTGCTTTGCTTACCGTAACCCTGCTTGAAGCAGACGTTTGAGTGACACTTAATAAGCAGTGCTGGGTTTAACCAGCTGGCAGTCCCCTTTTCACTGAGACACTGAGGTAAAGCATTGTGCTCTTCCAGTGCCCTAGTCTCTGGAAGGCCGTTGATACTGTCACCTTGAGACTTTACCCTTCTCTGTCTGAGCGCTCCTGGAGCTGGCAACGAGTAGCCTGGGCAGTGCCTAGTGCCCCCTTTCAGCATTCTGCTGTGAGTTTCCATTCTGGGGCAAGCAAAGCAGGGATGCTGAGGAGAGGCAGGCAGTAATGCAAGCCCAGGGGCTTTGGTGCTTAATCAGCATGGGTGTTTGTAACCTTTCTCTTCGCTGTGGGAACTCTTCCAGCTTCAATGAGTGTCCACAGCCAGGGTCTGAGCTCTGATGTCAGTACTGGCCTTGGATGAGTTTCCCCCCATGCTGTCAGGGACTGAAAGGACTGATGTCCTTCAGCGTATTTATTGCTCACTCACTGCGGCTTCCCTCTGCAGGAACAGCGTCACGATCTCACTGACAGTGTCAAGACGCTCCTCGAAGACTACAACAAAATGGTATCCTTTGAGTCTTGGGCCTGGCACAGCCAAACTGCCCGCCTGTTTCCCTCACTGCCTCCCCCCATCAGATGCTGTTGGATTCCCAGCTCTGGGTTTAATGGCCAGCGCGCTTTCTGACATGGTGACACTGGTGTCCTCGCAGGAGCAGAGCCAAGGGCCGGAACTGCCCGTCCCTGAGATGGGAAGGGCAGAGCACCCCAGGTGAGCCGGAGCCCCGGGGCTGGGTCTGCTCGCAGCGCAGCTTGGTGCGAAGGAGCCGCACAGCCTGCGCGCTACTGCAGAACCCGTGCTGGCTGGCTGGGCGTTGGCCTCTCTGTTAGGTGACGGCTGGTGCCTAAGCCAAACGGCAGCTAGTCCTGGCTGTGTGGGATCCCAGTGCTGAGACTCGGCGAGGATCACGGCAATGCAGAGGTAAGCTTGGTGGCTGAGCACTAGGTCGAGGCGGACAGACGGACAAGAATGTCCCCAGAGCCTGGGAAACCTGAGGGATGCAGCAGCTCACACGGCCTTAGCTTGGCCTTTGCCAGCAGCAGCCGTGGGAAATTTAAACGGCCCCAAGGAGCACCAGTGACCGGGAGCGTGGCGATGGACAAACAGGGCCTGGCGCAGCAGAGGGTCCTGGCACGTCAGTTTGCACGGCAGGGCGCAAAGGCAGGGGTCTCCTAACAAGTTCGTAGGTCAGCAGCCCAGGAAAGTGCTCCAGGTCGCTGCCAGGATGGTGAGCACTCGCCAGCCGTGGGAAATTTAAACGGCCCCAAGGAGCACCAGTGACCGGGAGCGTGGCGATGGACAAACAGGGCCTGGCGCAGCAGAGGGTCCTGGCACGTCAGTTTGCACGGCAGGGCGCAAAGGCAGGGGTCTCCTAACAAGTTCGTAGGTCAGCAGCCCAGGAAAGTGCTCCAGGTCGCTGCCAGGATGGTGAGCACTCGCCTCAGAGCTAAAATCA